CCTGCTCTGGTCTTTAAAGAAAATTCAACACAAGAAACCTTGCTCAGGGCAAGGTATTTTTATAAGAACTCAAGAGTCTTAAACTGAAGCTGTGCTATTCATTCAGTAAGTGCACCGTGTTTTTTAGGATCCAGCCTCCACCACCTTGTTCAGATTGAAGGACTCCAAATTCTCAGCAGCCAGCTGGCATATAAAAGCTTCAAGAAAAGTAGTGTCAAGAAAGTAGCTGGAACTTAGCCTCTTCTTGCAGACATTGGACCTAGGGTGGCAGTGTTTGTCTACCAGTATAAAGAGTGCTATTCATCTATACATTTTTTTACTCTGTTCCAGGAGGTAAAATGAAGTTGGGGTATAGCTCTGATTGCTCTGTTTGGGAACAGAAGAAAGATGCAGGTCTTCACCACTTAAGACTGTCATTGGTAATTGGGTCTCTGTGCTCTTCCTGCAAGTTAACTTCTCCATACCTGTGCTGTGGAGTTAGTGCCTTGGGCACTGAGACACTGGAGATAAGCGTAAGTTTTAGAGCAAAGCCTACCAGAAGAATCCTGTTGTTTTTATCTCATTAAGAAATGTAGCAAAGTTGCGAGCACGATTCATGCTACTGCAGTGGCAATTACTCTCAGCATTCACAGACCTTACCCCTAGTAGCACCCTCACAGGTTCAGATTAACACAATGAACATCTACCATGACTATCTTACCAGTGAGAAACAAGTACTTAAACTGGACATGCTGAATTTTCTTCAAGGCTTATCTGATAAAAATACTGTCACTCAGCAATACCCACAAGCCTCTTTGTAAAAGACAACTGAAATTGCAGCCTGCCACTTACAGACCATAGTAATTCTCTGTATATAATACGTAGATGTTTTTTAAAATACCATTTTTTTCAGAACATAAAAGCCAAACTGACTGCTGCTTCCTAGTTTTCATCTAGTGTTTTTGGTTAGAGGCTAACGGCAAAATTCTGCTCTCAACTTTTACATGGCAGGTCACAACTCAAACTGTTCTTCCTACCATAGAAGGAGGATATTGGAGCCAAGACAAATTCTGCCATTGCAAAAAAAAAAAAGAAAGTAATTTTTTTTTATCACTTAGCATGACAGGTAAGAGTTAGTAGCCCCCACCACCTTAACTTAAAGTGTAGTTATTGTTAAGTGTAAATATTTGAAATACATAAAGCCAACACTGCTAGAAAGGGAGGCTGATTGAAAAGGGGGGGGGGGGAGCAAGGGGAAATCACGATACTTTGTACCAACTTCTTTTTACCCTTTGTATCATTAGGATATTTTTTCTTAACTGCTGGAGTTCATATTTTTAATGTGTTTTACAGTAACAAATTCAACTTTAAAAAGTATTTAAAATGGTTTACTACCTCTCTTCCCAATACTAACAACCTACAGCATAAACTAACGCGTTAGTTTTAAAAGCCAACCGAGTACTAGGTACTGCAATTAAGACCATTTTAAATATTATTTTCTTTAAGAAAAGTAAAACCAAACAACTCTAAAGTTGTGTTCTCTCTCTCTCTCACGCTGAAATTAAATATTTGTCAGTGCAGTCTTCAGGACTGCAGGCCAGGATATATGCACCTTAAATTACACAGCGATATGAACAAATGCTCACTACTGTAAGGTCAGGATAACAAAGCAAGGCAGGCTTTTTGTTTGATTTTGGTTAAAAGCCCCTGCTCCTGTTTTTGAATGGCTTTCCAAACTGTCTGGAATTGAATACATTGTACTGCAAACACCCTTACTTTGCCAGCTTTCCACAGTGAGAAGAGGAAACTTTACAGTACCTAGACATGTGCAGCTCTAGCATTTCACAACAGAAGCTGGAATTCCCTCCTGACAGATGCACATAGGAGTAGCCTGAACTGCCAGCACCAGCATCAATGAAATTAGTATAATCCTTTGGTGCCACAAGCCAGGACTGATGAGCAGAAGGAGCTGGCTGTTACATGGCTAACAGTCTGACCCAAAGTCCCTGAATCCACCCTAGAGGAAACATTTATGTTTGCAGTGAAGGATGCTTCTTGTACAATACTGTAAACAGTGTCAAAATTCTTGTACAAAATACTGCAATGACAGTTATTAAGACACACCTGAACTGGTGTGCGCAGTGTTCTTTTCACAGAAAAAAGTGGTTAGATGCTGACTGCCCATTTTCAGATTCTCTTAAGACCATGGTGTCCGTGAGCTTGAGATGGATGGCCGGATACTGCCTTTAGGAGATGGCTTTGACCCAAACCACGACATCTGGCATGGGAGAGCACAACATGAATTAGGCTAGACTCTTACTTTAAAGTCTGGATTTAAGGGATAGCAGCGCAGAGATAGCCCCAGGAGTTGCTGAACACAAGCATTTATAGAACATATCAAAACACGAGGCTGTGTTTTTTGCATCCAGTGCACTTCAAAATTTAAGATTATCAGAATGAAACTGTCCTCGCTGATTAGCTACTGTCAAAGCTGGAAAAATCAGATTTCTGCTTTCATTAGTTTAAGTGACTGAACAACTGCTCCCTGCTCTAAACACCTAGCCAGACTCCCTCTGGAAGTCAAGTAGGCTAGAACTGAGACGCTCCTGGCTTCTCACCCACTGAGCCCTGGTGCTGCTTTTCATACTATGCTGGTACACTGGAAAGTTATCCTGTACTTGCCTTTGCTGAAACATATATTACTTCCATGAACATTAAGATTTTTCATCGGGATAACAGGCAGAATCAGAATATAAAGTCAGTCATGTAATGCAAAGTAGGTGGCTGTGCTTTTGGGTACAACATCTCCCATGTGAAGCAAAGAACAGCAGTTACTAGTATAAACTCTTCAGACTAAACAACATAAATCTGATATAGGGATCCAATACAGGGTCACTTTCAAATGAGATTCAGGCAAAACACAGGAAACAGCCTAGGATGCACTGTGTTGGTCTCTGCTCACTGCAGTAAATGCCATTTGCTACAGAGCTAGTCTGGGAAAGAGGCTGTTTTTCAACTTATGACCACCTCCCAAAATATTAAAATTCCTTCTCACCTGAGGACAGCAGAAATAAAATGGAGGCCTTACCTTGTATTCCAAGGTTTCTTTGAGCATGTTCTCTTCCTCCCGCGTAAAGTTAAGTAGCACAGACACAGCTTTAATTAGGTGGAATGCCTGGGGTGGGAGATGGGGGCAAGGAACAAAACAAAAACACCGGTTGTTGATTTTCTGCAATACTTGCAAGTCCTCAGCGTCGCTGCAGGGGCCAGGGTCGCACAGACAGACACATACTACCTACTTTTGATACCAAGCCTCCACTTACAGGTGTGGAAAGTGTCAGCTCTTAAGGAGCTGCCTACCTACTGTGTGCCACTGAGACTAGGGATTATTGGCAGTTGCAAGAGCTCAAACCCTGTTCATCTGTAGATACCTTTTCTAGCTCTTGGGTTTCAATTGTAGGTTTGCATATAGTGTGGGGGAAGACTGCATCTACTTGAATGGACAAGTGTTTGGTTTCCACAGCAATTCTGAATGCGGCAGGGTGTGACTGTCTTTTCAGACTGGGACATTCACAGGATGAAGTCGCACTATTCTAGTAAATCTTCC